CTGGAGAATTCTGATGAAAAGCAAACCAAAGCAAGAGGAGGGAGGTGATGCTCTGCCTCCGTGCGGTATATGCAACAGTGGGGGTCCTACCTGTGAGCTTCCTCTGTCCTCGGCAGAAGAATATAGGAGAGAAGAAAACTAGAGCTGCCCTGAAGCTCGGCAAGAATGTCTTTAAGTGGTCGTAATAATGATGCAATTATTTTTTCCATAAAAATACCATTTAGATGAAAAAGCAATCCTGCCAAAAAGAAAACAATAATGACTAAAAAAAAGGAAAACCCATTAAAAAAATCTTTATTACAAAATTAGCTTGGTGATAATGCAGTTAGTGGTGGGAGATTCCTTTAGTGCTGTTGTTCTTATGGAAGCTTATTGTGTTTTATGTTTAATGACGAGAATATTCAAAACACATCAGTAATAAAGACCATATTCTCTTAAAATTGTGTCTTCTGTTGGATGTGCTGCTAAGTTGGTGATCTGCTTTAATCAGTGCTTTCACTTTTTGTGTCTCAAACATACATTTCCATAAATATTAATATCTGTCTACGGTCAGTGAGACCATTGGGATGTTCTGCCAGTGTGTTTCAATACATGATTTTGCTGATTTTTATTCCCTCCTTTTTCATAGAATTACAGAATGATATGGGGTTGGACTGTCTTCCGTTGGATGTGCGTAGGTTTGCTGCTGGGCTGGAGGGTGCTGGGTTAGCTGTACAGTGCAGTGTGCTGCTGAGTTGGTGAATTAACAGGGGCAGCATAATTAATGGTAAAGAACAGCCTTCTGTAGCCCGTTTGGAGGGAGTGGAAGAGAGGTTTGTGGCGGAATTTGACAACACCTTGATGAAACGTGTGACCTTTCTGGATGCGCAGCGTGTGCTTGCTGAGCCAGTGAGCCCTGCCGCGGTCTGTGCTGGACCGATGCTGCCCCGCCGTGCAGAGGTGAGAGACTTGTGGAGGTGAGAGATCCCCCAGGGCCGGCAGCCGGTGCTGATTTTTGAATGTCTCCAGAGACTCCGCCACCTCTCTGGGCAGCCTGCTGTTCCCAAGGCTGTGGCGTTTGGGAGAGAGCTGACAGGACTCCCCTGAGCTGCTTTCTTTCAGGCCGTCACGTTTGTGCCCATTACCTCTTGTCCTGTCACTGGACACTACTGAAAAAAGACTGGCTCCATCCTCCTGATATCTGCCCTTTAACTACTTATAGGTGTTGATCAGTTCCCCCCTCAGTCTTCCACATAGAATTCAGTGGGAGCTGAAACGTGACCTGCTTGTCACACACTTGCTTGGTGTCTATGCCACTTCTGTTGGTTATCCCTGCACAACCTCTCTCAGCCTTTTCTTAGGAAGAAGTGAGCAACTGGGAACAGGATGTCAGTGTCTAATTGTTGAATTTTTAATCTAATTTTGTACCAGGTTTATCTTCTATAACGTTCAGACGATAGAGACAAGTCACTTATTTAAGCTTGCCCTGGGTACAGCAAAGATTCAACAGAGCTAAGATAAAGCGTAGGAGCTGGTGGACAAATTGTGAAGTAAAATCCAACCTGTCACTTATGAATAAATGCTCTCTGAATAGACCTAGCTTTTAAGAGGTAGGTGATGGGCAGTAAGAGGAGCTCCCGTGGAGGTGCAGTTGCCGTTTCCAGCTCAGTGTACTGCTTTCTGATCAAAGGGCTCTGTGCTCAGACCGCTCAAGTGCAGTGTGCGAGGGAGGCAAAGCCTCGCAAGGGTCACTTCAGGCTCAGCATAATTAATGGTAAAGAACGGCCTTCTGTAGCCCGTTTGGAGGGAGTGGAAGAGAGGTTTGTGGCGGAATTTGACAACACCTTGATGAAACGTGTGACCTTTCTGGATGCGCAGCGTGTGCTTGCTGAGCCAGTGAGCCCTGCCGCGGTCTGTGCTGGACCGATGCTGCCCCGCCGTGCAGAGGTGAGAGACTTGTGGAGGTGAGAGATCCCCCAGGGCCGGCAGCCGGTGCTGTTCCCAAGGCTGTGGCGTTTGGGAGAGAGCTGACAGGACTCCCCTGAGCTGCTTTCTTTCAGGCCGCTTTATTTTGGTCGTTTAAAGGGAATGATGGATGATCTTCCCATGTGGATTTTGAAGGGTCTGAAAAATGTGACGGGTTTGCTTCCATTTCTCACTTGATATTTCTGACATGGGAAGGGAAGATGAATATCTGCCCTTTAACTACTTATAGGTGTTGATCAGTTCCCCCCTCAGTCTTCCACATAGAATTCAGTGGGAGCTGAAACGTGACCTGCTTGTCACACACTTGCTTGGTGTCTATGCCACTTCTGTTGGTTATCCCTGCACAACCTCTCTCAGCCTTTTCTTAGGAAGAAGTGAGCAACTGGGAACAGGATGTCAGTGTCTAATTGTTGAATTTTTAATCTAATTTTGTACCAGGTTTATCTTCTATAACGTTCAGACGATAGAGACAAGTCACTTATTTAAGCTTGCCCTGGGTACAGCAAAGATTCAACAGAGCTAAGATAAAGCGTAGGAGCTGGTGGACAAATTGTGAAGTAAAATCCAACCTGTCACTTATGAATAAATGCTCTCTGAATAGACCTAGCTTTTAAGAGGTAGGTGATGGGCAGTAAGAGGAGCTCCCGTGGAGGTGCAGTTGCCGTTTCCAGCTCAGTGTACTGCTTTCTGATCAAAGGGCTCTGTGCTCAGACCGCTCAAGTGCAGTGTGCGAGGGAGGCAAAGCCTCGCAAGGGTCACTTCAGGCTCAGCATAATTAATGGTAAAGAACGGCCTTCTGTAGCCCGTTTGGAGGGAGTGGAAGAGAGGTTTGTGGCGGAATTTGACAACACCTTGATGAAACGTGTGACCTTTCTGGATGCGCAGCGTATGCTTGCTGAGCCAGTGAGCCCTGCCGCGGTCTGTGCTGGACCGATGCTGCCCCGCCGTGCAGAGGTGAGAGACTTGTGGAGGTGAGAGATCCCCCAGGGCCGGCAGCCGGTGTCTGGCATCACCGACGGTGCCGTTCCCAAGGCTGTGGCGTTTGGGAGAGAGCTGACAGGACTCCCCTGAGCTGCTTTCTTTCAGGCCGCTTTATTTTGGTCGTTTAAAGGGAATGATGGATGATCTTCCCGTGTGGATTTTGAAGGGTCTGAAAAATGTGACAGGATTGCTTCCATTTCTCACTTGATATTTCTGACATGGGAAGGGAAGATGCAAATTTAAAGGAAGGTGCCTCACATTCTTCAAGACTTCTGCCTGATGTGGTTAATAATTAGTATTTCTGATGGAAATGGAATAAAGACGAGGGAGCCTGGCCCCAGGGGAGGAGTGCTGTATAGACTGCACATGGCAGGGAGATGTGGAACTGGAGCAGTTGTTGTCTCACGGTGGGCAGGTAGGAAGACTTACATGGAATGGTGGTGTGGGATGACCCCTTGGAGCAGAGACCCTGTTGCACCTGAGACAAATTTTGAATTTCCCTAAAGGCGGAACGTACATGCAGATGCTCTTCTTTATTCCATTTTTGAAACCAAGAGAGCGAAGCACTAATTATTTCCAACCTTTCATTTTGTTGTGTGTTTTGGTTGACCTGAGAAGTATCAAGTGGTACATTTGACCTTCTTTGACTTTACCTGAGCACTTACTAGCTTTTTCAGTCTGATCTGATGTCATCCCTCGCAGCCCTTGATTGAAGGCCTGGGGAGGTACAGAGTTGTTAAGCAAAATCATTTTTTTTCATCTGACTGCGTGCGATGCCAGCGAGATAGAGGCTAACAAAGTGAAGTAAAAACAAAGAAGAGCATAAACTTAGTTCTGCTCTCTTCTGTGTAGACATCCTTTTCTTCTCTCAGAAACTTCTTTCCACTGGCATATCGGAGACTGTATTGAGAACATGTGTGTTCTGTTTCTCTTCTATTCACTGGGATATATTTCCTTATAGTATGATATCATGAGACTGGTAAATCCTGACAATTCCCAGTAAGTCCATAGATTTTTGAAGTGGTGAAGCTTTAGATAGCTATGATACAGAAAAGTGGCCACGGCCACACTTCTTGCTTTACCTGTTGATTATTTGCCCTGAATATTCAAGTTTGTGACTTTTCTCTGAGTATTTGAGCATTTTATTGAAATTTCAGTTAGGATGAAGTTGCCTTCTATGATCGTTCTTTGCATCTCTCAGTTTCTGAGTATTTGACATGATTTTCTCACTGCTGGATTATTTTTTTTTTCTAATGTAATGTCTGCTGGGACTTGATATCTTTTATGGTTTTTGTGTGTTACTGTGGCTCCTGAAATCAAGACACCAAGACTCAATAATGAACTTCATTAATCACTTCTGCACTGTACTGTGTGCAGCCTGGGCGTGTGTGCCTCTAGCAAAGGAGGCTTCTATATTTGCTTTCCTCAGGCTCGCAAACACTTCTCCAGCTGCCAGCATCCTGGAGCCTGGGGAAACAGTAATGAGTGACCATGCCAAGTGCTAGGAATGGGTGAGAGGGTTTAACCTGGGAGAAGACGAAAGCAAAAAGACAGGAACTGGTGTTACTGGTACCCCTTCCCTGTCCACTGTGTTGTATCCTGTTCCTTGTAAGAGTGCTCTTCAAGGTGGGTCAGGTATCACTGGTGGGCTGTCTGCCACCAGAAACCATCAACTCAAATGTAACCCAGTGTAGATACACAAAACCATGCACACACTGCTCCCCAGGCCAAAAATCACAGCCAACAGTGTAGTGTGTGTGAGGGGAGAATAGAAATAATGAGTGACTATTTAGAGATTAGCCTACTGTTCACTTGATTGGAAATACAAGGCAGTGTGATGGCAGTGAATGAGCTGGCCCATAGAATTTCCTCCTGAAGGTGAACGTGGGCTTAGATTTAACCCTACCACACAGTAATCAAAGCATGGTCAGATGGGGAACCTGCACCACTCTTTAGAGCCATCCAGTGCCCACCCCATGCATTCCCACCCTGTGAGATTTGAGATGCACAGACACAGAAGACTGCTTGCAAGAGAGATTTATTTGCTTCTCCTCCTATGTTATAGGGGAAAAGTCCTTGTTTCCTTAAGCAGTTTTACTCCTAGTGCGTCTGGTCATATGTGCCAGCTCCCTTGTAGGCTCCAACGTAGCCGCTGTTGTCTGTCAGATCCTGGCGGCCAGCAAGACCTTTCCCTTTGCCGCTTGCATCGAAACGCTCTTTGTGGCTGCCAGTGTATTTACTAGTGTCTGTCAGCCTATCAACCCCACCAACCTTGGTGGCTTTCTGCAAGAAAGGGGGACAAAAAGAGGCAACCAGCGTTAGGACGCGCCTCACAAACAAGCTTTTCCCTCCATTTGAGCACAGCCCATGTTCCTACAGCAGGAAGGAATGGTCCCGTGGCAGCTCAAGGTGCACAGCAGGTGAGGGAACCCATACTCACTGTGGTGCCCGCGCTGCCAGGCTCCTTCCCCTCGATGAGGCCATACACAGCCTGCAGCGCTTCCTCAGGTGATTTGCCTTTGAAGCGCTTGCTGCAGAGCTCCTTCATAGCCTGCTGGAACTCAGCAAAGGTGATGGTGCGGGCACCCTTGGTCCTGTGGTGATGGGAGACCAAGAGGAAAGTTACCACTGGGTGGCAGTGGGATGGGAAACCCTACTAGAGCCTGTCAACCTCCTGCTATTCCCTCCTCCTGACTCCCTCCCCACCGTGCCTCCCTGCAACACTCACTTGACTTTGTTGAATACGATGTCAACATCAGTGCTGGTCACAGCTTTCCCATCCATCACCCCACACTCTTTGCACATCTTGGAGAAGTTTTTCCCCGTCATTTCATTGCCACTGGCAGATGTGTCACCGTATACTGCAAATTTGCGGAAAGCTTCCTCTACCCCTGACATCTTGCTGCTGTGGAGAAAAGAAGTTGGCATGGAAGGAGCTAACGATCGTCTGCACGTGCTGGACACACACTCATGTCCCATGCACACTGTCTCCACCAGAGCAAGGGGCACCAGCCACAGGTTTTTCTCCACCATGGGACAACCATGTTGACCACGCAGATATAGACAGAGAACACGTGGGATGCAGACAGGATCAGGGCACGGGTGGCTTGGGATCTGAGGCAGGGTAAAGGAGGGATGGAGGTGAGGCTCTGGGATGAACGAATGATTGTTAGATGCAAAAGAATGAGGCATCCGAAGCTTCTGAACCTTTTTGAAATGGAAGTTTCAGTTAGACTGTCTCACTAACAAATGCCTGCATTTGTAAGCTGGTTTATTCTTTGCCTGTTACTTGGTGGTAGAGTCCAGCTTTGTCTTCCAGGCCCCAGATAAGTGCCTAAATCTCACAGACCTTAGTGTAAGTAGTCACAAAGGAGCTGTCCCTATCTTTCCCCAACACACTTCGTCCCCCAAATTGCTCCCTGAATTAGGTTGTCTTTCTCCTGATATCAGTAAGTTTTCCACTCCTGGTCAGCTTAGACCACTGCTGCCAGGTATCGGGGATCTCTGAGAACATGAGAGCTGTTGCTGGGATTGGAAATCAGTCCTGCACAACTGCTGCTTGTGAGACACTGATGGACCCTTTTTAAATACCCAGCCTCTCTTACAGCCTTGTGCTTCACCCAGGGTCTCTGGGTCTTGAGGTTGTTTGCAGGCTGCTATTTAACATAAACCTTTTGTGGGTCTGTACCTGTGTAGAGCAAAAATCAGTCAGGCTTGTATGAGGTAGGCTGCGTGTTGAGAGGATGAAGAGGGCATAAGGGGTCTCAGGGTGGCCTTGCTGGGGGCTTCCCAGGACCCTTCTCTCCCTCCCTGGGTGTAGTGGACCCCACTCACCTGCGTGAGCGAGAAGTGATGGCGATGGCACCTTCCCTGCTGTCCTGGAGGCAGTGGGCGCTCAGAGCCACACCTCGTGCTGGTTGTCACCTAGCACCCGTGTGTGTCACAGAGCTCGGAAGGCCCCACCACAAGGTGGGGGGGGAAGGGGAGAAGAGGAGGGGACAACCCCATGCCACTAAAGGTGTGGTGGCCCAAACCCCTGTGTGTTCTGGGATGGGCACCATCAAAGAGTGCAGAAACACAGGATGACGAGGCTGGAGGAGATGGCCAGGCACCATGTGGCCATTGATGCAGCAGTAGGGGGGGAAAATGTGCCCTCCTGTGTTGCACTCTGTAGTAGACATGGGGATAAGCTTTACTGGTCCCGAAGTGGAAGAGGGTTGAACTTTAACTGCTTGCTTTTACCCTTGAGTTGCCTCCCTGTGGCAGGTCCAGCTCCTGGCTCTCCCATGGAAGCAAATGCTTTTGCACCCAGGACGTTTGAAAGCCCAAGATTTTGATTTCCAGTCTAATCACGTCAAAAGCCATTGCCTGCTTTTTCTAGTTCTTTATGCAATTCATCTTATCTCTTTTCAATATCCGTGCCTGAAGTCTGCTCTGTTCTGCCTGTGTGTGCACGGAGACGGGGTGGGTCCTGATGGCAGCAGAGAGGAGCGAGGTGGGAACAACTGCTTTTTCGCTTGGGCTGCAGTTTCACGTAAGGAAAGTAACAGTTGGAGGTGCTGCCACTTGTCCCAGAGACTGCATGAAAGGAAAAGGAGGGAAGTTGTGATGCCCTGGAAAAGATTTTTAAATGCTTGTTTAAACTTTCTGAAGTCGATTGAATTAACAGGGGCAGCATTTGGATTCTCATCTTCTTGGTGTATGTCCCTCAGTGAAAGATGCAAAGTTTCTGGCAGGAGAACATCATTAGCAGAACACCTCCACCCTTTCAGGCATATAATTGCATGTCAAACGGGGCCCTTTCCCAAAGAATTGTGAACACGATCCGACTCCCGGTGGGGATCCTCCCGTGACACGCGTGAGGTGGCTGTGGAAGTAATTGGTTTCCTCTTCCCAGCCTGCAAAAGACCAGACTGTTAGATGAATGTGCACCTTGGGTCAATGACTGATACTGTGGAGGAGAGGGTTGCTTTGATTCCATCAGCTATAATGATGATTTTTTTTTGGAAGCATTATTTATGTTTTTTCAGATTCCTCACTGTTGTGAAGTTTTTTACATTTTTTTCATTCTATCTGCCTCTCCACAGCTGCCCTTCTCACCTCCACCAGCTATTTATTTTTAAGTGACAGTAATTTCTTGTTATTGAGCAGAAATTGAATAGTGTTCCTGTAGCAGAAGAGAAGTGCTGTTGTTGGAGGCACATGGGTGATCATGCTGCATGGAAGCAGAATTTGCATCCATTATTGGCTTCTTTATAGGCGATGATGAGACTATGGGGTTTTCCATCTCCTTTGAGATCTCCTTGTGTGTCCTAGACTACCCAAACCTATGGTAGCTCAAATAATGTTTTAGCAAAGGGTTTTACCCCTCTCTGCTGTCCTTTCTTCCTTCCCATCTTTTACAGGGATCTGTGGTCTGTCACCGATATCATGCCCCAGCTGTAACACTTTCACATTACAGCTGGATCATGGGGAATGACATCCAGATTCAGAGAATTTTCTGTTTTCAGATGCTGATCAAAATTAAGATCTCAATTGCACTACTAAATTATGACTATCCAATAAATTATCGAGTTTGGGAGAATTCTCTGCATGGGCCGTGTCCAAAGTGCTGCACTGCAATATGTGACAATTGGAGAGTGAAGCAACCCACCATATGTTAGTGGAAAATTGAAGTTGGGGATTTGTCAGGAGAACAGGAGACGGGAGCTGTTTGGGGTGAGAAGGACACGTGTATGACGTGGTTGGACTCAGCCCTCCCATCGCTAGCCTCAGGAACAGCTGAACTGCTTCATATGAAATCTCACCCTTCCTCCAAATGTGTATATATATACACAGATATATATGTGTAAGTGTATGTATAGCCTGAGGGAAACATGAAAAATGTCATCCCAATCCACTCAGATTTGGTGGAGGTTTAAGAAACAAAAGACAGAGTCTTGTAATGGAAAATAGAGTGCTCCCAGCACAGCTTACAGAGTCGAGTGAATTCAGTAAATGCCTCTCAGGCTATATTGAGTGGATCATGTATTGAACAGATCACGTATTGAGCCATGCCAAATGGATCACTGAGGGCATTGTTTCCAGGTGGTGGACATCACCAGTTGGTCCTTTCAGAGAGGCTGAGCAGAGGGATGTGTAATTGTGTGGACAGGTACGTAAGCACCCATGGCTGGATTTTACCTGGTGTAAATCGGCTTAGTTCTGGGGGCTTCAGAGTGGTGTTGGCGATTACTTTGGCTTAGGCTGAAACCTGTGCTAACGGAGTTAATAGGGAGTGCCAGGCTCCTGCCCTTCTCAGTCTCTCTGTCTGTCATCATCTCCTGGGCTGCCTGCTCAAAACTCATGGTTGGAGCATTAGGAACTCAAGGGACAGAATTAAAACTGAAGGGATTTAAAAAAAAAAAAAACAAACACCCACAAAACTTTCTTTATCTTTTAGTTTTAAAAATAATTTTACAACTTTTCTATGCACTTGGGTCACGTTTTCAAGATTTTAATTTATTTTGCAAAACTAGAGAAAGAGAAAAATGTAAATATGGTGAGATTTGGGATAAAATTAGACTGACAACGCTGAGCTGCTAACTCCATACTGGGCTAACTCATCATTATTTGGATTTGCTGGAGTCCAGAAAAGGCTTAGCTCATGTTTTGAGCAAAGCCAGCAGTCACATCCTGCTTTCTTAATTGCTATTTGATATGAACCATGATAATTTTCATTATGAAGCCAGTTTTAATTAAGCAAACAAAACCCCTCTGCTCTTCTTTCTGGCTAGCTTTTGATGGCTCCTTCTGAGTTATGACATATAGGTTTCGATGTGCTCTTCAAAACTTAGCAAAGTTTAGAAGTTGTAATAAAGCAGAGAGCCACGTGCATGGCTTTAAGCAGTAGCTTTGCGTGGGACAGAGCCCATCAGAGCTTGCCACTGGCTACCAAGTAGGATTTTAGCTGTCAGTAGGCAGTAAGTGCTGTGTTGCTTGGGGGTCTGTAAGGTGGTATGTAGCTGAATGCAATCATTTAGGGGCTCAGGGGAGCTCAGACTAGCAGTGAGGTCTTTAGTCCTGGGTGTTGCAGCTTCTGCCCAAGGCTGAAACTCCAGTTGCATTGGAGGGAGTTAATAATAAATCCCTAATTATGATTATATTCTTCCTGATGGAGGGAGACTTAGTCCTGGCGCTTGTTGCAGAGAACAGTTATAAAACACCAGGCTGTGGCCAGAGTCAAGGCCAAGACTGGCAGATATTTGAACTGTTTTCTGCGGGGTGTGTACATGGGTTTCTATCCTCGGATTAGGACTCCTCAGCATCTTCCGTGGGCTTTGAACAAAAGATGCGGGAAACTAACAACAGCCTGCCTCGAGGTATTTGAGTGGGCTCATGGTTCTGCTTGTGCTATGTGTGACCTGCACCTTCCTGAGAGCCCCAAAAGATGACTCCAAGAAAAGCAGGAGCCCCGTGCAGATATCGCTCGTCAGGGCGTGTAGGGAATGTGGGCTGAGAAAATCACTGGGGGGCTGATGAATTGCAGTAGCAGCATGGAAACATCCCTCACTGCCAAAGGGCAAGGGGATGGTTTAACATAGGCAGATAGATGTAGACAGCAGGTAATTTATTTCTACCCATCACTAGTAAATATTAATGGTACATAAATAATATATAAAAGATAACCTGATATCTGAATAATGGCCAAGATAGGGTTCGAGCAGGCATGTGACTTGTTTCACTTTATGCTTCCCTCTGGAGTAGCAAGAAAGTTAATGAGACACTTACTCAAGCTTGCATATGCAGTCCCTGAGCGTGGCCACAGGAATCTTAAGATTTAAAAATTTTTTAGGCCTTCCAGGTTGTGCCAGAGTTTTTGCAGGAGGGTGGAGAGGATGACGGTTTTATGAGTACAGCCTGGAGGACAAGGCTGGACAGGGACAGGTAGGGGAAGGCTGGATCGACTTATATTTTCCTGTATGGTCTCATTGCATCTGTGTGAGGAAGAAGAAAAATGAGTATTTGCTAAATGCTAGTTCTCCTTGCACTGACAACTAATGCGGTATTTTTTTTTTTTTCCATTTTAAGAGTGTAGGATTTCTTCCCCGCCCCCCCCCCCGTTCCCTGTGAAAAAATTGAGCTAAAGACAAACTTTTAGACATAATCCCAATTTAGCCACTTAGGATAACTTACAACTAACTATAATACTCTGCTGCTTGAGGCCTACTTCATCCTTTGAGTTGTCTGATGATATTTAGCTATGAGTAGTCTTCTCCTGAACCACTTTTACAATCCTTATATTAACTGGGTTCCTTCCTACGCGGGTAGTGCTAACAAGATTTCTTCCCCCCCCCCCCCCCCAGTTCCCTGTGAAAAAATTGAGCTAAAGACAAACTTTTAGACATAATCCCAATTTAGCCACTTAGGATAACTTACAACTAACTATAATACTCTGCTGCTTGAGGCCTACTTCATCCTTTGAGTTGTCTGATGATATTTAGCTATGAGTAGTCTTCTCCTGAACCACTTTTACAATCCTTATATTAACTGGGTTCCTTCCTACGCGGGTAGTGCTAACAGGCACTTTAAATATTAATACCCTTTTACTAATCATATTGGTAATTTAGCTGGGGCTGCTTATTCGTGGTCCAGCTGTCCTCGTGGAATGAAATGCATTAAGTATCATTCCCCAGTGAGACTGTAATTCATAAAAGCACGGTGGACAGTATGTTGTGCCTGTCTGATGTGTTTTAGAGAACATCTCTGCTGATGACTATACTTCGGGAAATTGGAAGAACATTTCCCCAGGACATATAAAGTGGCTGT